CATGTTAGAAAACAGGAGAAAAAACTATTATTAAAGAGAGAGGACAATAAAAAAAAACAAAACAAAATAAGACAGAATATAACGATTGACATTGCATTTAAATTTTTGTAGATCAAAATTAATTGGTATACAAGGACCCAGGAAAGAGTTCTACGAGCGAGAAGTGTTATAGAAGAAATTGCTAACATAGAACTTACGGTTATATCTAACCATCTCAATTGTAAATTGATGGGACCTTGCCGCCAATCTAGTACTGCACTTAAATTTATAAAGTCTAAGTACCATAGAGGAAAGTTCACCAGAACAATTATCATGTAAGTATTTATAGAAAAGACACTAGGAAGCTACGTTAAGCCGGTGGGAAAGGAAGTGAAGCCGAGATACCAGGTCAGGATCAGCAATATTGCTGATTCTTCTTTGGATTTTATCTAGAATCTCTAAATATATAGCAGGAGCCCTAGACCAGATGCGGAAGCAATATTCAAAGCAAGGATGAATGGTAAACTTATAAATATGTAAAATAGATTGTGGGAAGAAAAATTGTCTGCGACGATATAGTGAACCAACTTTCCTAGCAGCACAACAGACCTAGCAATGGATTCAATCTACTCTTTCTATTTCATGTCAACTGAAAACATTAGTCGGAGAAGGCGCAATTTGTGACTCTGATGGAGGTTAGCATCAGCCATGCTGATGGAATGTAAAATGGATTCTCGCAGACGATTAAAAGAGACCAGTTGCGTTTTTGAGGCGGTAAAATTAGCAAGCCATTCCTTCTTTTCCCCATTCAACAAAAGGTCAGTTTTGGGATCAGCTGCCAATTTGCATTTATCGAACCGATCCGACTATTACTAATAAGACAGGGGTAAATAAATTGGGAATGTTATTTATCAAAATTAGAAACAACATAGGGCTGAGGATAGTACCCTGAAGAACACCTGCATTTATGAAAAAAGATTTAGAAGAGTGGCCATTCAAGACAACATTCATTTAGCGATTTGATAAGAAAGACTGAATCAGTTCAAAAAATAGTCCAGAAATACCATAACCTTTCAACTTGTGAAGAAGGCCGATATGATAAACCCTGTCAAATGCTTTCAAGATGTCTAAAGCATTAGCCCCAGCTTCACCAGTCTTATCTAAAGCTTGATAGATTCTTTCAGCAATAATCCTTAATACATCAGCAGTTTACCTAGAGAAGCGAAAGCCATATTGCTTATCTAAAAGAAGATTCTGCAATATGAGGTGTTTAATCAATTCAGATTTGATTAGAAGGGGCAGATGGTTCGCCAGAGTTCTTAAAAACAGGAACTACGGAAAAGAATTTCCAACAAGCAGAGAAACAAGCAGTAAGGTATGTATTGTAGAGTTTAGAAAGAACAGGAGAAAGTCCTAGAGAACACTTAAGGGCTATTGTAGGAATACCATCAAGTTCATATACTTTGTGAGGATTCAGTTTAGAAATTATACCGGAAACTATAGGCGACATTCTATTCATATCACTCAATAGAGACTCAGTTCTAAGTGGAAAGTCAGGCAAAGATATTCCAGATTAATCAAGAGTAGAATTTATGGAGAATTTACGAGCAAAACATTCGGCTTTATCATCTTCATCAGAAGATATTAGCACCTTAAATTGATTAAAGAGAGGAGGGATATAATACCTACTATAATTTATGACACAATTGCAGAGTCACCAATAGTCACGAAAGGCGATACGATGTCTCATTTCGTCAGCAAACAAGGATTCGCGTCTCTGAGCGTACGTTTACAATCATTTCGAGCAGTTACAAAGAGACGTCTGTTGTGATCGGAATTATGAAGCTGGTACACCCGGAAAAAAAGTGATTCCTGTGGGCTACAGTATCTGAACAGGCTGGTATCAACCAAGGAGAAGATTGTGGTTTCATCTGATATTTGTGAGAACGTAGAAAAGCTTCAATGCTGGCTTTAGTCCAAGAAGAAACCTCTGTGGCACAATTCTCAACAGGATGGTTAAGAATAACAATACACTGGGCATCTCGAATAAAGTCACGAAATAAATCCTAATCAGTACGCTGATAACAGAATGATGTCTTGTAAATAGAAGATTCCTTTCTAATAGACGCTGCAAAAGAAATATCAACAAAGTGGAAAGTCAGGCAAAGATACTTCAGATGGGTCAAGAGTAGAGTTTATAAGCAAGACATTCTGCTTTATCAATTAAAGAAGTTAACACCTCAAATTGAGTGAAGAGAGGTGGGATAGAAGACTTACTCTTATTTAACATACTATTACAGAGTCACCAGCAGTTGTGAGCGCCAAATTTGTTAGAAGCTATGAGGTGTTTCATTCTATCAGCAAACAAAGGCTTAAACTCTTTCAGGACAAGTTTACAATTACTATAAGCAGATACAAAAATGCTGGTGCACCTGGAAAAAGGGATTCCTGTGGACTCTAGCAGTAGTACAGGTCTGTGTACCTTGTGGTTTTCATTTGGTATTTCTGAGAAGAAACAGCATCGATGCCAGCTTTGACCAAAGAGGAAAGCTCTGTAGCACAATTCTAAATAGGAAGGTTAAGAATCTCAATCCAAGGGATATCATGAAGAAAGTCATGAAATGAATCCCAATCAGTACAATGGTAGCAGAAAAGTCTTGTGAATAGGAGATTCCTTTGTAATAGACAATGCAAAAGAAATAAAAACTTGCAAGAGGACAAGAGATGATACTTGATAAGAGCTAGAAGAGAAGGTAAGGAACAAATTGAATAAAGAAGCATATTGAATAAAGAAGCATGTTGAACAGATTTATGAGGAAAATGAATAGGGAAATCCACTATTTGATGAAAAGACTGAGCAATGGAAAAATTTAAAGTCTGAATACAAGCAACATCAGTAACTTTAGAATGTTTAAGCCACTTGACATGATGAGCATTAAAATCACCAAACACAAAAATGTTCACAGATGGATGTAGAGAAAGAAACATCTTAGTTTTTTTTAATATTGGCCTTTTAATTCTATTTTTTTTTCAAAATAAAACCGTTCATTTTTCAATATCTTTATACTGAAAAAATACGTACAGAACATTCACAGCATTGGGCCAGAAAAAATTTGCGGCGTTTTTTAAGCGAAATTCAAATACAATATTTACGATTTATATTTGACGATATTATTCAACTACATAATGGTAGTAATAATAATAATATTCGCCGTTTCTCTACAAGGAAATATTTGACATTCATTGACAAAACAGCCAATACTGCCTTCAGTTGAAATCTATAAAACCTTACTCTTAAATTTTTCAGAAAAATGCGTTTCTTATTTCAAGAATCTGTTGTCACTCTTAATAGTATTGATGGAGGTTTTCTTCCTAACATTCTATTTGAGGTTGTAGGGAATGTCAGCATTTTCATTATGTTTATTTGAGTTACATGTGCTATCCATTTTACTTGTTGCCGTTGTTGGTAGTCTTTAACCGATGCGATTTCTGTTATTTGGTACAATTATTTGTTTGTGATTGTGTAACGCCAGTCCACAATGTTCAAAGAGGGATGATTTTTTTCTAAGGCCTTCAAGTTTCACTCGCTCAAATCCTTTTTTTCACCATTCATTTTAGAAAACGTTTGTATACAGTTGAGAGTTTATTTCTGAACTGTTTTGGCACCATGCATAACATCCGTATGAAAGTCTTGATCTGACGAAGCTATTTAAGAACATGATTCGAGTTTTTGGCTTGTTATTTTGGTTTTTGAGCAATTAGCGGTGTTTGGCGAAACCATCTGCCATTTATTATCACTGATTCTTGCCTTCTTTAAGGCAGCATCTTTTTAACCATTAACAGAATTTTTTCTAGGACTGAAATAAATGGTTATCTGAATATAAGCACTGCATTTCTTCTAGGACATTCCAGCCAAGCTCGGACAATTTCTGTCGGCGCTGCAAAGAGACACGCGGTTTGGCGTTGTTCTAATTGAAAACGAAACGCTTCCAAGTGACCAATTCCGGACATGTTTCATCGATTGCTGCCATTAACCGGTCCAAGAGTAAAAGTATTTGTCTGAATTCTTCTGATTTTGCGAAAGGAGTTGAAATTCCAATCACACCAGACACAACAAATTCTTCAATTGAAGACAGGCCCTTCGTTTTCCTTAGAATTTTTTTCACGCCAAGTAGTTGTAAAGAATTCCTTTTTCATCGCCTCTGATCGTTCTTTTCAGAATTGGTTCATGTTGCTTCCGGACAGGGAACCGTAGTTAGAAATAAGGTTCTTCATTTTCCCGCGTTAAATCGTGAGGCACACCGGAGTGATTCCCATATGCAAGGAACTTGAAACGCGTTTGAACAATAACATGAGATATTTGGTAAATATCTCTGATTTCCCGTATTTTTTGACCTGGATTATTTTAATCAGCCTTTCGATGGATGTCAACCTACCAAAATGTCTTCGGTTTTCCAAGGCAACATTTCCACACCTGAAACTCACGAGCAGTACTCTTACTTGACAGTAAAATGAACAGACCAACAAGCGAATTACAAATTGCAAATTCAAGCAAGTACAAATCTTTAAATATCTGCGAAGTATTTTAACAGAAGGGGAAAAGTACGACCCTGAAGATGTCTTTCAAAAGCTCAGCAGTATAATAATAGAACAACTTCTCTAAAAACAAAGATTACTAAAATATTACGAGATATTTGGCCTTCTATATGGCAGTGAATGTTGGTCCTCGCAGATGAAGAGACTTGAAGCGATAGAAATGTGGTTCTACAGAAGGATGCTGAGGATACCATAGACCAAACATGTGAGCAACGGCGAAATTTTAGAGAAAATGGAAACAAAAAGGACGCTTATGCTTAGAATCAGGAAAAGACAGTTGAATTTTCTTGGACACATAATGAAGAAAGACAGTTTGAGAAAATATACATATACCATATTTTAGTCATGTGTAAAACGAATTTCTGTGTTCAAAAGCCACCTGTAGAAAAAGACTTTGAATTTTTGTTCCAACTCATTAATAGGTTTATGACCATATCACGTTCAAACACCGGTTTTCGTACGATCACCGAAGTTAAGTAATATCGAGATTAGTCAGTACTTAAATGGGTGACTATTTGGGAATACCGGACGCTGTAAGGGCTCGGATTTGGAAATTGTAGAGCTGAGTCCCAAGTCTAGTCGGGTTTGTTATATTAAGTTAGGCACATTATCATCATCCTTCGACATCTCTATGGTTGGTCGGAACTCGATTGACAATCCTTTTCCACACTGTTCGGTACTGCATTGCTATCCCCGGATCCCTAACGTCCGGGACGGTAGTTCATCTAAGAGAAGGATTTTAAGGCCCCGATGTCTTACGGCCATACCCAATCATGGGAAATGCTTCGGGAGTAGACCTTGAGGACTAATCCGGAGCTGGAGACTCTAAGACAGTCAGTGGAAATTCAAATTCCAAGTTGGTGTCTGGCACGGGATAATTCACTTCATGGCTTGAAAGAACTCTTTAGCATTGGGTGGCAGTCTTTCTAGAGATGATGTCTCGACAAAAATACCCGGATTTAGGGTTGGCGTCCCACATTTTGTATCAGATACCGAAAGAACTATCAACTTAAGCAAAAATTTCAGTGGGAAAGGCATGAATCCAGATTTTCTCCTCCTCATTCCCCCGACCAAAATTCTGTGTGGAAGAACAGGAAAGAAATATGAAATTTTATTCAGTAAAAAAGGTAAGCCAACAAATTCAAAAAGGAATTTCAAGTGAATTAAGAGCAACTAAACGATAATCCACTTAATGCAGGAATAAAGAACCTATAAAAGAAGATAAAAGCAAATCCAATGAAGCAAAGGCAGAAACGATCTTAAGTACTTCATGGCCAATACTCTTCCTGTGCCAAACAAATTGATGTACACAAACCACGTACCCATCAGTGGTTGTGTAGTGTAGGGTTAAAAGCTGAAATTGAAGGATTTATTCTTGCTGAACAGGACCAATGTCTGCTAACTAGAAATTACCAAGCAAATATACTGAGATATTGTGTCAACCCGAAATGCATATTAATCCAGAAGCAATTGACCATCTTGTATCAGGTTGCACTGTTACTACCAACTGAATATAAAACTCGGTATGAGTGGCTTAATATCTGCATTGGAAAATATTCAACTTTTACGAGAAGGAAACTGCAAGACATTGATATGAACACCACCTATACCCAGTTTCAGACCACGGACCTCTACCAAATTTATAGGAGTTTACAATGCAAAATAATCAAAGCTAATCTTTGAGACACAGTGAGCAAAAACCACAAAGCAGAATGCACTTTCTGATTACATTGCAGTTGCTGCAAAGTGTAATGTAGATCTTCAAAAACTATCAAAACACAATGATGTCGAAGTGGAAATCTAAAAAATGTGGCTCATGAAGACATCAATAATTCCAGTTGTGTTTGAAGCCCTCGGTTTTATTGGAATACACTTATGGGAGGAATCCCTGACTGCACATGACTTCAAGAAATATAAAGTATTATAGTCACATGTACACCTCATAAATTACGTAGGGATTTATGCATGTAAAATACGCGTGTTTTGAGGTAGTTTTATTTTTTATTTTTTTTACACAAATGTGCAGTGGAAAATAGTATGATGAAATTCCTGAACTTAGATCTCTGTTTGGGATCCGGAAGAAAATAATTATGCAACAGAAATTGAATAATAATAATAATAAAAATAACAATAATAATAATAATAAGCAAAAAATAAAAAAAATTATTAGTAAAAAATACCTTCAAAATTGTTGGTATTTCCACTAGGGATTCTTTTTCTTAGGGCTTTACACTGAAGTTCAAGTCAATGTAATTCATGATGTCTACAGCTACAATATAAAGATTTTAAGATACTTAATTAAAAACGAAAAAACAACTGTGTGATACGAATTAGCAATTTTTCCTGACAGTCCTTCACTAGTGTATTCAACCCTCTTTGGGTGCTTCGTGCATATCGCCTTTTGCCAAAAAAAGAGAAAAGATTAGTAAATGACTGTGAAACATTTCGTTGTACACACAAACGCACATACATTAAAATTTAAAAAAAAATTCCGGTTCGGACCATCTTTTTTTTTTTAGTTTTTAGGGGAAAATTTGAGCATAATGATTTTTCTGAGAGCTTTCGGCTTTCATAAACCATTATCCAAGATTTCTTTGTATGTATTGAAAGGATCACCTCTGGAGCTACGGACCGTGTTTTGTTGTGACTTTTTTTCGTGTTTTTTTTTTTGCAATACTTGTTACAGTTTTTTGGATATATCTATGTATTAGTGAGCCAATCAAAATGAGCTGACTCATTTTATAGTCCACCAAGAGAAGGGTTAACCAATCAGAAAGCTCAAAATGTTGAATCCGACGTGTATAAAGGCAGCCATTTTGTTTTTTCTCCCAAAATATCTTCACTGCCAACCTCTCTTGAAGACAGAAAGAATTACTTAACAACTGCTACTTTCTCTGAATCTTCACTGCCACCCACTTCATTTTTGGGTATATTATGGAATCTTCTTTCAAAATATTAGTAAAGTCAATATTCATATGGAACAAATACTTTAGTATTCAGAAGTTTTGTTTTTTAGCATTCATAAAATAATATTTTTTTTTTTTTAGTATTCATAAAATAATAATTAATATCCACAAAAATTAGTTATATCATTTTGTCCACTGTTAAGTACTTCAGGTTAATAAACATTAACAACAATATTATAAATTTGGGTTGTGATCACAACAAAAAATTAGAAAAAAATGTTATTTTACCCATAGCTGGGACCCATTAAAACAGTCACCATCACTCCTGGTCAGAGTGATCCTGAGAGTCATTGAGAGGAAGATTGGGCTAAAAGTAAGACTACGTTTATACCCTGAAACTAAGGATTTACATTCATACCAAAAACTGACGTCTCTTAAGACAATAACTAATGGATGCAGTTTTACGTCCTACCCAGGACTAATAAGGACCTTAGAGAGACTTAATGGATGCAGTTTTACGTCTTACCCAGGAGTAATAAGGATCTCATAGGTCAGTACCAAATATGACAGGAATGAAAGCCCCTAATTTCAATTTTGTAATTGGCTCTGTAAATAAATCCGACACGTTATTTTCCGATTGTACTGTTTTCTTTTGTACCAGATCCCTTACAGATTGATATTTAATATCAATATGCTTTGATCTTTGATGTATTATTGGATTTTTAGTCAAAGCAATACTGGCCTGATTGTCACAGTAAATAGTTATAGGCTTACTTATTATCAGTGTTGTAATTGTTTTTTATTAGTAATTTTAGAAAAATAGCCTCTTGTGTTGCTTGCTACAATGCAATATATTCCGCTTCACAAGTAGAAAGTGAAATCATTCCCTGTTTCTTAGATTTCCAGCTAATCATTGGATTATCTTTTGCTAATCTAAAGCAATAGCCTGTTATACTTTTATGATCTGGTGAGTTCGCCTAATCAGCATCACAAAATCCTTCCAATTGTAATGGTTTATCTGATTGTCGAAATACTAGGCACCGACTCTTAGTTTCCTTTAGATAACGTAATACTTGTTTAGCTCTTGTTAAATGCACAGTCCCTGGTTTATTTAAGTCTTAGGACAACTTAGTAACCGTATAGCAGTTATCTTGCCTGGTTGATGTCATGAGGTAAATAAGACTTCCAACCAATGTTCTGTATTCTTTCTCACACGCCGCTATACCATCTTCATTATTCATAATTATGTTTAAATCCATTTCACATGGAGTAGTTCTTGTTTTACAATTTTGCATGCTGAATTTAGATAAGAGCCTTTCGATGTATCTAGATTGATTCATTGTAATAGTGTTGCCTTTAAATTCGAACTGTATACCAAGAAACCATGATAGTCAACCCAAGTCGGTCATTTTAAACGTTATATTTATGGAATTTTTTATTTTTTAATCGAACAGCTTCACATTTTGAAGCAATTAACAAATAACCAGAATTACTAATATTTCATTATTAAATGTCCTCGTGTATAGACATGGGTCAACTTGGGAGGATTCAAATTGTTGTTCAATTAAATAGGAATGGATTAATTTATTCCACGTTCTTCCGATTTGCTTGAGTCCATATAGTGACTTTTTCAGTTTCCATACATAATTATCACCGTTTTCAAAACCTTCTGGCGGTTCTATGTATATTTCATGGCGATCCATCCTCAGTTCGTTTTACAGTATAAACCTAACGGCTGCCGATTATATTTTTATCATCCGGGGCCTTTTTCAATTCAAAAGTATCATTTGATACTAAAGTTTCAATTTCTTTTTGCATGGCGGCTATCCATCGTTTGGAATTGTCAGAATTTATGGCTTCTTGATAGCTCTTTGGGATACATTGTACCGAATAGCAACAGTCAATATCACAGATATTACATTGATCCATTCAAAAATAGTCTGGCTTTCTTCTATTTCTGGTCGGATAACGCGGAATTTGTCCCCCCTCATCGGTTTTATTTTCTTTTAACTCAAGTATTGCGTCTGATTTTTCCTCGTCTACATCATCTGGTATAACACTTTCCTTTGATTGTGGATTTTGAACGGGTTTTCTACTTATAGGCCCATAATTAGGCCATACTAGTTCGTGTTGGACCAGCTCCTCGCAGTTAATGTTCTTTTCTTCGGGATCCTCCCCTCAAGGGAATCTGTAAATCTGACGCATCTGATCTTCCTTATTATTTTACTTTGTGGGAAATAAATCATATAGGCCGGACTTGTTTTATCATACCCAATAAATATTCCTCTTTCACTTTTTGGATCTAGTTTTGCCCTGTGGTTGACATATGTGTAGCAAATTGTACCGAAAATATGCATACCACTTACGTTGGGTTTGTAGTTCGTATAAACTTCGTAAGGAGTCTTTTTAATGTTACTATTATAGCAACGGTTTCTTATATATACGGCTGTATTTAATGCATAAACCCACAGATTTTTGGGTAACTTAGATTCTATTAGCAAACATCTAACCATTTCGAAAAGCGTCCGCTAACTACGTTCTGCAATTCCGTTCTGGTGTGGTGAATAAGAACAAGTTTTCTCATGTTTAATGCCTTCATTTATTAGGAGGTTTTCGTAACCATCAGAAGAA